GGTCATGGGAAAAGTATCTGACTGATCAGGAAGGGGTAGGGATGGGACCCAGGGAAAGGGGTCCTGCCTCTGCCCCCATGCGCTCACCACAGACAAAGTTCAACACAACTGCCTTTGATCTCAGCAACTGGATAAGCAAAGGCCAGCCCAATTCTCTTCCTTCCTGCCCAGACCAGCTATGTCAAAGCAGATACAGGTGAGACTTTTTTTTTTCCTCTGGGTGCGGCAGGTAGCTCCTGATATCCTGTGTTGGGAAGGAGGGCTGTGCCTCATTTAATTCCTGGGAACTCTCTTAAGCAGTTGGTTTTATGATTCCTCAGGAAATCTCGTGATTTATAGTAAACACAGATGTGTACTGAATTAAAGTGACAGGAATCTATGAAGCTCTTGTGGCATGCCACCTTATAACTAGCAAACAGGGGGGCAGGGATTTTATTCACCCTGCATACGAAAAGAGGTGGCACTGTATTTTCTCAGACATTGAGATGTTGGCAGCCTTGAGATCAGGTTCCCTCGCTGTCTTCTTTGTTCCTAGGTTCTACAGCCAGGCTCTTCCATCTCTGTTCCTTCCTAACTCCATCCTCATGATCCTCACCAGCCCAGAGTGGTGGTAGCTTACTTCCCCAGATGAAATGTAAAGGAAACAGTCATCTGTAGAAATGACATAGTCAAGAGATATCATTCCATTGTGGACCCAAAGAACACTCCAAAATCGCTTGTGCAATCAAGGGAGATTTCTAGAGGGAAAGAAAGGGCTAGCAAGATATATACTGGGTTTCTAGAACTTAAGGCACTTGTCTAGTTAATTTAGCTGATTGTAGCTTGGTCAGTGGCCAAGGTCAGAATATCAAGGCTAATTCACAATGAAGTCTCTGTGTTTAGCATTCTGAAGACCTGAGCCTTGAAAACCAACTCAAGTAGTGCTTGGTGTTGCATGCCTATAGTCCCAGCTATTTTTTGGAGGCTGAGGCCAGAGGACTGCTTGAGCTCTGGAGTTCAGGGCCAGGCTGTACAGCAACAGGGCAAGAAACTGTTTCAAGACAAAACAGGCAACCAAGAATAAGAAAAAAAAAAAAAGGAAAAAACACCTCAAGGTTCTGCCACCTTGAGGGTACTGTTCTACTTGTCCTTAGTCCGATGCTTCCAGTCATTTTGTTTTCCTATTGAGCCAATCTCTGCCTTCTAGTCAGGAGTCATCTCTCTCTCTTTTTTGGTGGGGGAGGAGGGGCGGGGGGGGTGTCCGGTTGTGGGGCCTGAACTCTGGGCCTGGGCGCTGTCCCTCAGCTCTTCAGCTCAAGGCTAGCACTCTACCACTTGAGCCACAGAAACACTTCTGGCTTTTTTCTTTTTGCTTATGTGGTGCTGAGGAATCAAACCCAGGGCCTCATATATATGCAAGGCAAGTGCTCTACCACTGAGCCATCTTCCCAGCCCTCATCTCTTTTAAGATGGATTAATGTTCCAAAACTATTTTTTATTCTGTCAGTTCCTGGCCTAAAAAAAAACCCAAAACCAAAAACCAAAACCCTTCACTCTCTCCCTTTGTCTATAAATTAAAGACCAAAGTCTTCTTGAAGGAATACATTTTCTTTTGCAGCCTATTCCTTCACTCTAGGTCTTTGCTTTTCCCTAAGCACATTTTATCCTTGCATTCTTCCCACCATTTCCACAGCCACCAGGTCCCCAAGCAGCTCCCCACGAGCCCCCCAAATCCTCTGTAATGATAGTGTCCCACTCTGGCCACAAACATACCTTTTGTTTCTCAACTCTAGAAATATTTTTTCAATTATGTCATTTTACATTCTTCCTATGAATTTAATGTAAATCTACACTGTCTGCTATGAGAGTCACATGTGGCTATTTAATATGGGAGAAAAAAATAAAGATGAAGCCAGGCGCCAGTGTCTCATGTCTGTAATCCTTGTTACTTGGGAGGCTGAGATCTGAGGATCGTGGTTTGAAGCCAGCCCAAGCAAGAAAGTCCATGAGACCCTTATCTTCAATTAACCACCAGAAGTGTGCCAGGTGCCAGTGGCTCATGCCTGTAATCCTAGCTACTCAGGAGGCTGAGACCTGAGGATCACAGTTCAAAGCCAGCCCAAGCAGGAAAGTCCATGAGACCCTTATCTCCAATTAACCACCAGAAAACCAAAGTGGTACTGTGGCTCAAGTGGTAGAGTGCTTGCCTTGAGCTGAAGAGCTCAGGGACAGTGCCCAGGCCCAGAGTTCAAGCCCCACGACCGACAAAAACAACAACAACAACAAACAAAAACAGAAGTGGCACTATGGCTCAAAGTGGTAGAGAGCTAGCCTTGAGCAAAAAGAGCACAGGGACAGCACCCAGGCCCTGAGTCAAGCCCCTTAACTGACAAAAAGAAAAAAAAAGATGAAATGGAACTATGGAAACAGATGGGAAATAATCAAATGTTTGGTCCAGTAGCCACATTCCATGTGCTGGATAATTACATGTGACTAGAGGTTAATGTGCTAGTCTGAACCAATACAGAATATCTATATAATTGTAAAGTTCTATTGGACAAATATGTCATGAAGACAAATATAATTTATAGATGCTGACAGCATAAAGAGGAACTGTAAGACCTACTTCCTGGTAAGATGGAATAAGTATATGTTATTAAGACATAGTCCTACTTGCCCTCTTCCACAAATAAGGTTGAATTGGGTTAAGCTATTTTCAGGAAACATATAGATAAGAGGAATTTATCAAATAACATTATGATGTCCAAACAGGAAAACCGAGCCAATGGGAAATGCAATCTGACAAATGACCTGTTCTCTTTTAAAGATAAACTATGAGCCAGGTGCTGGTGGCTCACACCTGTAATGCTAGCTACTTAGGAGGCTGAGATCCAAGGATCATGGTAAGAAACCATCCTGGGTAGGAAAGTCTGTGAGACTTTATCTCCAGTTAACCACCGAAGAGCCAGAAGTGGAATTGTAGTTCAAGTGGCAGAGTGCTAGACTTAAGCGAAACAAGCTCAGGGACAGCCCCCAGGTCTGAGTCCAAGCCCAAGAACCAGTATGTACATGCATGCATGCACACATGCTCGCCCCCACACACACTGTATATAGACACTTGGAAGTATATAGACACTTGGAAGATTGAGGCAGGACAACATTAAGTTGGAGGCTTGGGGTATACATCCTGACCCTATCACAAGAAAAACAACCAAACAAAGAAGAAATTTCAGACAAACAAAAATTTACGAACAAGTGATCTGGATCTCAATTCTAAGTATCCATTTAACAGTTGTTGGTTGTGGAGCTTGAACTCAGGGTCTATATGCTGTCCCTGAGCTTTTCCACTTAAAGCTAGTACTCTACCATTTTGAGCCACAGTTGCACTTCTGATATTATGATGATTAACTGGAGAGTCTCACAGACTTTCCTCTCTGCGCTGGCTTGGAACTGCAATCCTCAGATCTCAGCCTCCTGAGTAGCTAGGCATGAGCCACCAGCACTGGGCTTCTATTTAACTTTTGAGACCGAGTCCTACTACACAGTCCCAATGTTTTTTTCCTTAGCATACTGAGTGCTGAGACTTTTTTTGTGTGTGCCAGTACTGAGGTTTGCACTCAGGGCATGGGGTAGGCCAGCACTCTACCCCTTGATCCAGTGACACATCCAGCTTTTTCTGAGTATATAATTGGAGGTTAAGAGTCTCCCTGACTTTCCAGCCAGGGCTGGCTTTGAACTGCTATCCTTAGATCTCAGCTTCCTGAGTAGTTAGAATTATAGGCGTGAGTCACCAGCACCCTTTTTTTGGGGGGGGGGGGAGACAAGGTTTTGTGATATTTCCCAGGCTGATTTTGAACTCAAGTTCCTCTCACCTGTCTCCCAAGAAGCTGGGAATCCATGTGTGCACTACTGTATCTGGTCAAAAGCTATATAAATGAGTCATAAGATTACTGGGGAAATTTGAACAATGACTGGATATGAGATTAGAGAACTATTAATTTTTACAGTATGTAAATAGTATGTTGGCTATGTTTAAAAAATCCTTATCTTTGAAATGTATTCACAGATGGCATGGCTGGGATTTGCTTGAAACAACTTAGATAGGGAGATATGGGACAACACAATAGTTGGACTTAAAAGTTGGTGGTTGTTGGGGTTGGGTGATGGGTACATGGAGGCCTCATTGTCCACTTTTACTGTGTTTTGTTTTCCATTGAAAAAAGAACTTCTGTTCTTTTCTTATTGGGCTGATGAATTCCTGAAGTTCACTCACCTCTGCATTCTCCACTGCATTTGGCACTTTTCAGCTTGAGAGCTTTTAGGTCAAGGTCTACATGGAAGAATGGAACTCCTTCCAGCAGCGGGTGTGTGTGTGTGTGTGTGTGTGTGTGTGTGTGTGTGTGTGTGTGTGTGTGTGTGTGTGTGTGTGTGTGTGTGTGTGTGTGTGTGTGTGTGTGTGTGTGTGTGTGTGTGTGTGTGTGTGTGTGTGTGTGTGTGTGTGTGTGTTGTGTGTTAAGACGACCTATGGCTCCAGTGCCTTGGAGCCAGTGGCTGAGGCAAACTCATAACTTCATAACTTCAACATTTTTCATCTCACACTACGTTGCTTCTGAAGGACCTCAGAAAGGGCACAGCCTCTGTTCAGAGAGAGGGAGTGGCTGAGGGCCCACCTACCCTGTCACTCAACATAGGAAGTTTGACTCTGAATTGTGACTCCCTACAAGGCTCTCAGTGGCCATGGCAGACAGCAGCTTGTTGCTGGCAAGCTTAGGAATTTCATGAACTTGTCAGGACCTGGGCTGCCTGTTGGACAGGTTGTTCCTTGGGCAGGACTGCGAATGAAGCCAGGCCTCCAGCTCATACTTTTCATATCTAATTATCCAAAGCTGTTTGAAGACTTTCAGCCTCAGTTACCACGAACATTAGCAAGGCTGACAGAGCTGCTTTCCAGAGCCAGATCGATGTACCTACTCCCCAAATACTTTTTTCTCCATGATACAGATAAAAGTCCAAACTCAAAGTAGTGTAAAACTGTTTAATTCTAAATCAAATCACTTTCACAACAGTGAAAAATCAGTGACTGGTCAAGTGTGCTGCTATACATATTGCATTTTCTGACTGTGGTCGGGACCTGGTCCTTGTCCACAAGAGTGGTTGGGGGCGGGGTAGGAGGTGGGCAAGAACACAGACAACACACACAGAAGGAAAGAAGAAAAATGCCTTGGTAGAGGGCTGGGTGGTGAATCTGCAAAGGGGCGGGAAGGTGCCTGCTAGGGCTGAGCCAGCAGTCCTAAGTTGGCTCTCCTGACCCAGCTCCTGGCACAGGGTAAGAGTGGGGACTTACAAGGTTCACAATCAAAGGGCAAACAGCCAACCTAGCTTTGCTCCAGTGTGTTTCTGAATGCCTTTGCTGGTGCTCTCCTGAGCTCACTCCATTTCATCATAATCCAAATGATTTGTCCTCCTACCCACAAGTCTTCTACAAATCCATTTCTGTTGAGCTCAGCGGGCTGAAGTTCTCCCTCTACTGGTTGGGGCCACTGCAAAGGGATCTCATCAATTCTTTCTTTAGAGCAGAGACATTCCAATGGCCCCTGAAACTTTGGCTTTCAGGTAATAAGAAGAACATACTTGAGGAGATGCCTAAGAATGTTTAAAATCCAGCAGCACACTGTAAAGCTGGTGGCTAATTCCTACCAAGTGGACTCATGAACGAATCACCTACTCAATACTTTGTATTTTGTCTGTTTCAACACTGAACTCGGGCACTGGCAGGTGCAACGGAGGGGGACATCACTGTGCAGAGGGGAGGAGGGCTTCTTGTGTCATCCAAGGTCTTGAGTCAAAATTTTTTGGGAGAAAAACAAAAACAAAACATGAGGGAAGGCTTTGTCCTATTTCTTGAGCACTGCAGGGCGAGCTAGGAGCAGAGTGGGTTAGAGAAGTGAGCAAGAGGCTCCTAGTGGAAGTCTTCCTTCCATCACCACCAAGGTCTCAAGGAAGCTGAAATTTCTCTGATGAGCCTGGCCAGTGACCTAATTGTTTGATTCACAACTATAGACGCAGAGGAAAAAGCTTGTGAAATTAAAAAAAAAAAAAATCAAGGGTTTAGAAAGGATAATTCCATCTGGACTCCAGAGGAAGGAAGACCATATCGTATCCATGTCCTGAAGGTCGGTGGCCCTGCCATGTTGTCTTCACAGAGCATCGAGGGTTGCTGCTGAGAGTCCCAGGCTTCCCTGCCTTCGGGGAGCTCTATCAAGCCCTACTCAAAGCAGGGTCACAGGGTGGCGGTCTCCCCACTCCCTGCCTCATTATAAAGAACAACTTGGTTTCTGACGCTGGTGGTCCTCTATATCAGCTGGGAAAACCTCCAGCTTCCTCTGAGCAAGTTCTGAGAGAGGATGCATTCAGAGCCTGTGCTACATGTTTGGTGGTTCTTGCACCAGAGCTCTGAACCCCACCAAAGGCTGGAACTTGAGGTCTTTCCTAACGCAGGCAGTCAATCTCAGCTTCAGTGTAATCTGACTGTTTGCCCTCTGGAAGAGGGGAACAAGTGCCCACAATTTTGAGGGGACAGCTGATTAGGGGGACACCTGAGAGTGAAACATGTCTCCTCAGGGACAAGCTCTGCAAGAGGTCCTTTAAGCTCTTTTCTGGAACCACACACACTGAGCAAGGTCCACAGCCTGGAACAGATCTTCGCATCTCTGGTGGATTCGTGAAGTGACCTCAGCTTCTGCTGATGCAATTATCCTCTTCATGGGCCAGCAGTTTCCTGTGTCTGGGCTGAGGAAAGGGAGGGGAGAAGAACAGAGCAGCACTGGGATCTGGAGGCAGAACTTCCCTGTGCGAGGAGCCCTGGCTGGCTTGTGGGGCGTCACTTACCAAGGGATATTTAGAGATGAAAAAAGTTTCCATAAATACCATTTGGTTCATCCCTTTGTTTTTGTAATATAAAACTCCAGTGAAAGAAACCCTCACAGTTTCTTTCCTCCCATCTCTTCCCTGTCAAGAGTCAGGACCTGCTGAATAAGCTGGAACAGGATTTCATGGTGCCACCCATGAGAGGGACTCAGCACCAAGGCCTGAGGTTGCGAAAGGGTGTTAATGCGTAGGGACACGCGGTGGGGGTCCTTGCCAACTGGTCTTGAGTTCCATGTGCCTAAGAGAAGCAAGACTCCTTGAAGGGTTACTGACCCCACTGAGTTCAGGGGTCAAGATTATCCAGGAGAACAAGTGGCACATTACCAGACCAGAGGCCCGGCTATGGAGCCCAGCATTAGGCAATTAGGAGCCAGAACATGATCACCAGGGCCACAAACAGGAAGAGGCGTGACAGGAACTGCTCATCCACATACTGAGGTGTCCCAGGGACAGCTAGAGAGACAAAAGAGAGAGAAGGCTATCAGAAGGTTGTGGGGTAACACTGCCCCTTTGGGCCACAAGTAGAGGGCTGCAAGTTCTGTTTCCTTACAACAGATTCCTGCATACTAGAACTACTTCCAACCCTCAAATGAATGGAGGCAAAAGAAAAAAAAAATATGTGAAGCAATAGAATAATGAGGACAAGGTCTCCCATTATCCCAAAAGAGGGTTGGCCAGCAAATACAAATAAACAAGTTGATTAGCAGGAAAGTCCTAGAGGGAACAAGAGTAATTAAAAGCTATGGTTTGTTGCACCATCTCTGTACTGTTCTGCATGTGAGTTGGTAGGTATTATTCTTCCCATTTTGAGTAAGCAGCTGCTGAAGCACAGAGCATGTCCTGCTCAGATGAGAGGCTCCTGGGCAGTGGCAGAGATGCAGCAGCAACCTCCTGCCACTCTACACACTGCCCAGGGGTACTCCGAGCCTGCCTTCTCCTGGATAGGACTCAGACCCCCACGGCAACACAGATGTAAAACTGGGGTGAGGATCTATCTCTCTCCTCTTCTTCCTTCAGAGAAAAGCTGCTATTTTGAGATCCCTGTCCTGACTTTGGAGGAAGAAGGGCAAGAGAATCATCATCCAGGCTGGGCGAACTGTACCGAACATGATGAAGAAAATGTGATTGTGGTAGAGTAAAAGGAGATCCAGAATCTAGCCTGGCTAAGGAACTGACTGGGAATTCAGGCTAAGCCTTGGACTATGTTAGAAGGAAGCAAACTACCAGGATGGCTCTGGCTGGCTCTACTGGTATCTGACCTTCCTCCTGAGGAAGGCCCCTCCTAGGGCCTCTTGAGAAGATAACACATGAACAGGGGAAAATGTTCCATGTTCTAAAGCATGAAGGGTGCTTTTGATCTCTCTTGGTGCTATACTACGCCCTCCCTAGTTAGGTGCTCTGATAAACTCATGCAGGCAGACAGTCAATAAAGACTTCCTGATCACCTACTATGTGCCAAGGATCAGAGTAAGGCAGATAACTTCTGAGTGGAATTTCATCTCAGGGTTATACGGTCCTGACCAGATCCATACACTGGTTATTTCCAAAGTGTAGACTCCATAACACAGATCTTGCAGGGGTGTCAATGTCTTAAAAACCCAGGATGCTCCCCACACACGGCTCTGCTCTACTCTGAATGCAGCTGGGATGGGCAAGTGGCTGGAGGGAGAAACAGCAGCGAGGGCATCAAAAGCACAGTTCGCAAAGGGCTGAGGCTTGGAGTGAGCCATATGCTGTGTCCTGAGGGAAGCTAATGAGACATCACAGCACAGAGGTCCTCACTCTGGTGGGTCACCTCATCCCTCATGGCCTCCACAGGGTCAAGGTGGGGAGTACATATAGAGGACTAGGCTTTTTCTCAATTGAGTATCATTGATATTTTTTTACTTTATGGACTTTAGATCCTGGTAAACATTTCTGAAAATGTTGACCTGTGAGACACAGCTACATGCTCATGGGAAGATTGTGCTGATTCCCTGAGTTTGGAATGGAGAGCATTATACAGATACCTGATACTTGAGAAGGGCTCACTATCATTGGCATGAGTACTAGTAGTCTGAAGGAAATAAGACATTTTGAAAAGGCTGGTTATTTGTAGAGTAAGAATCACCTGTAATTTAGATACTACCAAATTCCAAGGAGATTTCAAGCAGGATTAGTATTTTCTTGGTTTCCCAAGGAAGTTAGGCTTACCTGGAGGAGGCCGTCCATCATTTATGTTAAATGCTGTGGCAAATATCCCAAAAGGAAATGCCCCAATTCCAAAAGACATCTGGAAGCCACCATCTCCAAATCCAAATCCTTGAAACCCCTGTGTGGAAGAAATGCAGTTCAGAGAAGAAAACTAAAAATGTTTAAACATCTCACATGTCCTAACACATGTGGCACCCATGCCTTCTCCCTACCCTCTGCCACCTGTTTCCACCCATCTAGATCCCAATGCAGAGTAACTATGGTGGGGCCTCTGCCCTCCTAGCTTAACTTTAAATGAGCCAACAAGGATGAGCCCCTATCAAAAGCTCTGCTGAGCAAAGTCGTTAGGGTTCATAGGGCTTGAAGTTGTTTTCTAGGCATGCTTTATAAAACACAACTGGGAATCACTTCCAATTATGAAGGAGCATCAAAATAAACTATACACTATCTGTAATAGCAAAAAAAAAACTGTCAGTGACTAATAGAAGTCTTAAGTTATCAGATAAAATTGTTTCAGTATTGTGACAAACACATGACAACATCTAAGTATATTTTCTCTTTTTTTTTTAATTGTGAGAATACCGTACAGAGGAGTTACAATTACATGGGCAAGATAATGAGTACATTTCTTATCAAGCATTGTTGCCTCCTCTTTGTTTCCCCTTCCCATCCCATCCCTTCCCATACTCCTCCCACCTCCCCTCCCCGTATATTTTCTTTTAAGGCCAGGTACTGGTGGCTCACATCTATAATTCTATATACTCAGGAGGCTGAGATATGAGGATATCATTTTAAAGCCAGCCCAGGCAGGAAAGTCCATGAGATTCTTATCTCCAATTAACCACCAGAAAACCAGAGGGAGCTGTGGATCAAAGTGGTAGAGTGCTAACCTTGAACAGAAAAGCTCAGGGACAGGGCCCAGGACCTGAGTTCAAGCCCCATGATCCCCCCCAAAACTAAATGAATTAAGAAAACTGTCTTTTAAGCTGGTCATGTTGGTACCCATCAATGATCCCAGCACTTGGGAGCTCAGGCAGGAGTGATCCTGAGTTTGAAGTCAGCCTAGTCTATATAATGAGACATTGTCTCAAAACAAGGCCAGAACTACCAACAAAAAAGTTATAATTCTTGGGGCTGGGAAGGTGGCTCAGTGGTAGAGCGCTTGCCTTGCATGCATGAGGCCCTGGGTTCAATTCCTCAGCACCACACAAGCAAAAAAAGGTTGAAAGTGGCGCTGTGGCTCAAGTGGTAGAGCACTAGCCTTAAGCTGAAGAGCTGAGGGACAGCCCAGGCCCAGAGGTCAGGCTCATGACCGACAAAAAAAAAAGTTACTACTCTTTTCTTTTTCTATTGTCACACAGAATTTTAAATATGTGAAACTCTGCTGGGTGTAGTGACTCAAGCCTGTAACCCTAGGTAGTTGGGAGGTAGAGATCAGAGGATCATAGTTGGAGGCCAGCTGGACATAAAAGTTTGTGAAGCTCCACCTCAATCAATGGCTGGACACAGTGTTGCATTCCTGTCATCCCCAACTACACAGAGAAGTACATGTAAGAGGGGGTCATAAATCAGGCTCCACTAACAAGATGATAAAGTGAAATCTTACTTCAAAAGCAACCAACAAAAACGAAGGGGTGCAGAAAGGGAGGGAGGAAAGGTGAACAAATGCCATCATGCTATTTAGGATGTACTACATGGAAAATGAACTATGTAACTTGTGGGCAGGGATGGGAGTGGGAAACTGGGGGAGAGTGAAGAAAGGGATGATATTGTCAAAAAAAAAAAAAAAAGTAAGCTGGGCACCAGTGGCTCTTAGCTACTCAAGAGGCTGAGATCTAAGGATGTGGTTCAAAGCCAGCTTGGGCAAGAAAAGCCTATGAGACTTTTTTTTGGGAGGGTCTGGTCGTGGGGCTTGAACTCTGGGCCTGGGCGCTGTCCCTCAGCTCTTCAGCTCAAGGCTAACGCTCTACCACTTGAGCCACAGCACCACTTCTGGCTTTTTTCTTTTTGCTTATGTGGTGCTGAGGAATCGAACCCAGGGCCTCATGCATGCAAGGCAAGCACTCTACCACTGAGCCACCTTCCCAGTCTGTCTATTAGACTCTTATTTCCAATTAACCACCAGGAAACCAGAAGTGGCTCAAGTGGTAGAGCGTTTGCCTTGAGCTGAAGGGACAGTACCCAGGCCCAGAGTTCAAGCCCCATGACTGACTAAAAAAAAAAAACAACTAATTACATAACTTATGAAATGGTGACCCCTCTATATACCACATTAATAATAATACAATCATATTAAAAAATCAGCCAGTGCTGATTTCAATTACCAATACTGCCAAAAGACGAGAAACTACTTTTTCTGCTAAAAGAGTTATGCTTGTTGTAAGAAATTCACACATCAGAGGAATAACTGATAAAGACATGCCTCCTATTCGCCACCTTTCCATCTCATAGTCACCTCCCTGGGTCCTCCCAAATAACCACCATCAGTGTGTCAGTGTCAGCTTCTTTCCTCTGCTTATGTCTCATCACATCATCTTTCTCATGAAAGGATTCAGTAGGAACAACCACAGACGGAATAAGCAAGCCCCTACCTACCCTCTTTTGGCAGTACTGGAGTTTGAACTCAGGGCCTCACACTTGCTAGGCAGGTACTTTATCACTTAAGCCAAGCCTCCAGCCCCTTTATGTGGTATTTTTTTTTTTTGGTTCGGTCGTGGGGCCTGAACTCTGGGCCTGGGTGCTGTCCCTCAGCTCTTCAGCTCAAGGCGAGTGCTCTACCACTTGAGCCACAGCACCACTTCCGGCTTTTTTTCTTTTTGCTTATGTGGGGCTGAGGAATCGAACCCAGGGCCTCGAGCATGCAAGGCAAGCGCTCTACCACTGAGCCACCTTCCCAGCCCCTGTTGGTTATTTTTGAGGTAAGGTCTTACTTTAAACCCAGACCTGTCTGGACTGAGATCTATTTGGAATGTCATCTATCACTGGGATGACAAGTGTACACAGTTGTGCTCAGCCCTTGGTCAAGATATAGTCTCATAAACCTCCTTTTGTTCAGGCTAGCCTCAAAATGAGATCTCACCCAATCTCTGCTCCAAGAAGCAGGTTTATAGGCTTGAGTCACCATACGTAGCTCAAGTCCGGTTTTCCAAGTGTGAACTCTGTTGAGCACAGGGTTAAATGCTTGGATATATATATTGTTTTGTGTTTTTCTCTTTTTTCCTTTCCTCCCTTCCTTCCTTCCTCCCTCCCTCCCTTCCTCTTTTTTTTTTTTCTTTGATCAGTCGTGGGGCTTGAACTCTGGGCCTGGGTGCTGTCCCTCAGCAATTTAGCTCAAGGCTAGTGCTCTACCACTTGAGCCACAGCACCACTTTTGGCTTTTTCTGCTTATCTGGTGCTGAGGAATTGAACCCAGGGCCTCATGCATGCAAGGCAAGCACTCTAACACTGAGCCACCTTCCCAGCCCCCCTTCCTCTTTTCTTTCCTTTTTCTTTCTCCCCATTGCCCAGTCCTGGACTTGAAATCAAGGCACTCTACCACTTGAGCCACGGCGCCATTTCCAGCATTTTTTTTTCTGAGTAGTTTATTGGAGATAAGAATCTCATGGACTTTACTGCATAGGCTGGCTTTGAACTGCAATTCTCAGATCTCAGCCTCCTGAGTAGCTAGGATTATAGGCATGAGTCACCAGCACCCTGCTTTCCTCCTTTTCCTTTCCTCTTTCCCCTCCCTCCCTCCCTCCTTCCTTTCTTCCTTTCTCTTGGCACTTGAATTCAGGGCCTGGGCACTGTCCCTGAGCCACAGAGCTACTTCCAGCTTTTTCTGTTTGTGTGGTACTAGGAATTGAACCCAGGGCTTCAGGCATTCTACACAAGCACTCTACCACTAAGCCACATTCCCAGTCCTTCCTTTTTTTTCTTTTTTTTCCCCAGTCATAGGGCTTGAACTCTGTGTCTGAGCACTGTGTCTAAACTCTTCAGCTCAAGTCTAGTGCTCTACTACATTGAGCCACAGCTCTACTTCCAGTTTTCTGGTGGTTCATTGGAGATAAGAGTCTCATGAATTTCCCTGCCTGGGCTGGCTTAGAACTGTGATTCTTACATCTCAGCCTCCTGAGTAGCTAGGATGAAAGGTGTAAGCCACTGGCACCTAGCCTTCCTTACTATTTTTAAGATTGTGTTCTCTGTGTAGCCCAGACTGACCTCAAACTTGCCATTCTCCTGCTTCAGTCTCTCAAGTGCTTGGTTTACAGGTGTCTATGACCAGGCCTGGCCCTTTTTTTTTGGTCCGTCATGGGGCTTAAACCCTGGGCCTGGGCACTGTCCCTCAAGTCTTCAGCTCAAGGCAAGTACTCTACCACTTGAGTCACAGCGCCACTTCTGTTTTTCTGGTGATTAATTGCAGATAAGAGTCTCATAAGCTGGGCGCCAGTGGCTCACCCTGTAATCCTAGCTACTCAGGAGACTGAGATCTGAGGATCACAGTTCAAAGCCAGCCCAGGCAGGAAAGCCTGTGAGACTCTTATCTCCAATAAAAACCACTAGAAAACTGGAAGTGGCATTGTAGCTCAAGTGGTAGAGTATTCACCTTGAGCTGAAGAGCTGAGGGACAGCGCCCAGGCCCAGAGTTCAAGCCCCATGACTGACCAAAAAAAAAAAAAGAGTCTCACAGACTTTCCTGCCTGGGCTGGCTTTGAACTGTGATCCTTAGCTTTTTTTGTTTTTTTTTTGGTCCGGTCATGGGGCCTGAACTCTGGGCCTGGGCGCTGTCCCTCAGCTCTTCAGCTCAAGGCTAGCACTCTACCACTTGAGCCACAGTGCTACTTCCGGCTTTTTTCTTTTTTGCTTATGTGGTGCTGAGGAATCGAACCCAGGGCCTCATGCATGCAAGGCAAGCGCTTTACCACTGAGCCACCTTCCCAGCACCTGAACTGTGATCCTTAGATCTCAGCCTCCTGAGTAGCTAGGATTACAGGCATGAGCAAGTGGCTCTTATATTAGCATCACGTGCATTTTATTGATGCCCCATTCATATCTGGAGACATAATTTGACCAAGAGGTAGAGTTTAGATCTAAAACTAGGTCATTTAATGGAGAAAAATACAAAACAAAAACAAAAACCTTTGGCTCTTAAATTACTGTGCATGTCTTTCAAAGTTTTTTTTTCTCCTGCCCTGTATTATTGGTGAGATTTTTTTTCAGGACAAATAATAAAAGTGACATTTGTAGATCTCTTACAGGTCACAAAAGTGGGCAGGCATACTGGTCCCATACTTAGTAACCCTAACACTTCTTGCTGAGCAGCACTACCTATAAGACCTAGCAGATGATTTGCAAGAGGGCAAACCTACTGGGAAGAACACCAACTGGTTTCCATCTCCTCAGTGCAGAAATGTCTCCTGCTCAGACCCAGCATGGCTGAGTCCCAGGGCTCCTGGGACTAAGGCTATCTTACCGGGGAAGGTGCAATTATTTCATCAGGAACTACAGCTCTATTGTACAGTCCTGAAGACTGACCATGCATCCCTTCTAGCAGTATCTACAAGATCCCACAAAGATCTCATTGGTGTGTTTATTTTCCTGGGACAGAATATGCAAAAAGTATTAACAGCTGCAGGTGCAAATGAATGCTAGAACTTTGGTATGCCAGGGCCTCTGGCTTCCTTGAGCTTCTGGTTTCTTTTAATTGCTAATGCAACCAGAGCCTGAGAGGGATAAAGGCTGTTGTCTTGTAGTCAGAAGCAGGGATTCCATTATCACCTGGGTTCCAGCCTTGTCTGTGGCCCTGTACAAGGCATTCATCTCATGTTATATGCACCTCAGTTTCCTTGAATAGTATGTCTTAAATGAAATCATATATATAAAGCTCTTAAAATATTGCTCTGCCCATATAATAATCATTCAACAAGAGCTGACAAAGAGACCCTCAATTTTTATCCAAGCCCTTGACTCTAAAATCATATTCTAGCTGGGTGCTGGTGGCTCACACCTGTAATCCTAGCTACCCAGGAGGCTGAGATCTGAGGATCGCAGTTCAAAGCCAGCGAAGGCAGGAAAGTTCATGACACTCTTATGTCCAATTAACCACGAGAAAACCAGAAGTGGTGCCATCACTCAAGTGGTAGAGTGCTCGCCTTGAGCTGAAGAGCTGAAGGACAGTGTGCAGGCACAGAATTCAAACCCCATGACCGACAAAAATAAGTAAATAAAAATAAAAAATAAAATAAAATCCTATTCTAAGAAATGTCCCCATTCAATTAAGAAAAAAGAAGGGCTGGAGGTATATCTCTGTGGTAAAGAGCTTCTTAGCAAGTGGAGGCCCTGTGTTCAGACCACAATACTGCCAAAGGTGGCGGGGGAAAGCAGCTACTAACCATTGTACAATGAATTAGTTATAAATTATGGTAAGTCCACACAGCTGAACACTAGCCATTAAATAAAATATGCTTGGCAATATATTTGCAGTAACATCTTAAGCTGTATTGTTGAAACTATTCCAAGTGTGTGATCTCTAACAGAGCAGGGAGTTTATCTGTGTCCCCTGATAAATCACCTCTGCCTGGAATAATAAGCAGCATGCAAAAGGGACTTACTACTTGTAGAATAAAAGAAAAATCTTAAAAGTTACAAAACAGGAGCCACATATTGTTTTTTTAAAAGTGATAGAAAAACAGGCCAGGCATCAGTGGCTCTATAATCCTAGTTACTTGGGAGGCTAAGATTTGAGTGAGGATCAGTGTTCAAAGCCAGTCCAGGTGGGAAAGTCCATGAGACTCTTTTTTTTTTTTTTTCCGGTCATGGGACTTGAACTCTGGGCCTGGGCGCTGTCCCTCAGCTCTTCAGCTCAAGGTGAGCGCTCTACCACTTGAGCTACAGCGCCACTTCCGGTTTTCTGGTGGTTTATTGGAGATAGGAGTCTCACAGTCTCTCCTGCCCGGGCTGGCTTTGAACCGCGATCCTCAGATCTCAGCCTCCTGAGTAGCTAGGATTAAAGGCATGAGCCACCAGCGCCCGGCTAAGTCCATGAGACTCTTATCTCCAATTAACCACCAAAAAGTTAAAGTGGAGCTGTGGCTCAAATGGTAGAGCACTAGCTTTGAGCAGAAAAGCTAAGGGATAGCACTCAGGCCTTGAGTTCAAATCCCAATACTAGTGTACATACATAAATACAGGAAGCCAGGTACCAGTGACTCATGCTTGTACTCCTGACTAATCAGGAGGCTGAGATCTGAGAATCATGTTTCAAAGACAGCCCTCTCAAGAAAGTCTGTGAAACTCATAAAACACCAGAGGTAGAGCTGTGGTTCAAGTGATAGAGCACTAGCCTTGAGCAAAAAAACTCCGAGACAGTGCCCAGGCCATGAGTTCAAACCTCAGGACTGGCACAAAACAAAACAAGACATGAACTAAATAATACTTTTTATAAGAGAAAGAGAAAAGAGAGAAAAGAGATTGAAGGGGAGGGGAAGGGAAGGAAGGTCAGAATGTTTCCAGTAGTTATCTCTGGATGGTATGACTATAAGTGATTTCCTCTAGTCTTTTCATTTTTATATTTTGTAAATTAGTTTTACATGTATAACCATGTGTTAAAAGGGAAATTTTTAAGAGGCTCATTTCTAGAAGCTTCTAGAATGTTGCTTACCCCTCTATTCTCCGGCTCTGGCCTCTGGCCTTGGGGACGAGGAGGGGTCTTCTCTCTGAAAAGAAATGGTATGAAGTAAGTCTACCACAGAATTGTGTTGAGCTGCTACCTGTGATAGCTAGGAACTCTTCATCCAGAAGGTCAAGATCTTTCTTGTCATGCACATAAACTTATGCGGAATTAAACCAAAAACTAACTCATTATTTTATATGCAACTGTTTTCCTCAACATCATATAAAGGAAACAGGAAGAAAAACAGATATTTATCAGGTTTGCACCACAGCCTAATTCTTGCAACTGAGATCCTGACCCAGACTAAGAGATGAAGTCGCCTTCCCATTTTCTTTCCCTGCTCATAGGCACCAGAAATCCCAAGTTCCAAGAGAAGCAGAGTGGAGTAATCTGAAATGAGGGAGATTCAGGGTGTCTTTCATCTGCCTCAGTCTTACTTCCCATTACTTCTGGGCCAATACTCCATGCCCCTCCTACCACCCATCTCACCAATGCTCAGCTGAGGGCTTATTACCCATTAGCCAGTAGGTGGGAAGGATTAGCAGAATGTGAGGGGAACAGAGTGAGAGGGAGTCAAGGGAGGAAGAAAGACTCCCATAAAAGGGCTCCCATAAAAGGGCTCCCATAAAAGACAGGCAGAAGTTAATTAGCAAAGGAAGGGCAAGGATGCAGTGGTTGTCTAAGCAGGATTGGGGAAGGCAGAAGCAGCAGAGCACAGTACAAAGACTGGCAAAAGTGAAAGGGCAAGCCCTTTAAAACAAGCCTAGTCTGGAGTATGGTTGGAAAAGGGACAAGATGCTTCTGGAGAGGTTTGGGGTACCAGAGCACTAAGGAACTTTAGTACTTGTGCTTGGAGTATTCTGAGCCCACTCACAACTCCAAATCCTACACGCCACAGAGCGAGCCATCCAGACTCCTGGTTCCCTGTCATGCCATACTTTTCTTCATCACTGCTGATGAACCCAATCCCTGGAGACTCTCCTAATACACAAGTGCTCTCTCACAGCACTTGGCACATGCAACGGTGATGTCGTCTCAGGCACTGCTGCATCCCCAGGCCCAGCACGCTGCCTGTCTGCTAGCAGATCATCACATACGTTAGATACTACTACTATAGTCCAGCAAGAAGCAACTTGGCTTCTCTCCCGTCCCCCCTATCCCGTCCTTCCTAGCCAGCTGTTATTGGGATCAGACTGCCTTAAAAGTGAGTGAGCAGTCATCAAGAATCAAGCAAAGGGAAGGGTTAGAAGGTGCTGAGTAGAAGTGAATTTATATCCAAGAACAGAAGGGAGTATGTGATGTGCTTCAAGATCTTACCTGGGGTCCTGCTGCCCAGTGCTACCCCTGCCATAGAGAGGAATGACCTTGTCTCGGCTGATGCCAGCTTTACATACTGGACACACTTGCCTGTTAGGTCTGGTCTCCAACCACTGCAAACAAGGAAGAAAAATGCATGAAAGGCCCACGGCCACCACAGAATCTTCAGTCAGAGGCAGCAAGCAGGAGAACAGGGCCAGATGCCTTAAAGTACACGAGCAGGAAATACCTTGAGGAAACTGACTCTGTTTCTAACACGCAATAAATAATGGTGAGATCAAAATTGTGTTTAAGTAACACATAATTAAACAGGCTCCTTCATGCTTTGTTTCTTTTGAGGGGCTACTAGTCATATAGTAGGAAGGAGCTACAAGCCTGGGGCTGTCAAGAATATCAAGTCTTGGGGTGGGGAGGGGGAGCAGGGAGGATTGGGTGGGGAGGTGGGTGGGGGGATAGGAAGGGATGGGAAAGGGAAACGAAGGAGGAGGCTACAATGCTTGATAAGAAATGTACTCATTATCTTGCCCATGTAATTGTAACCCCTCTGTACAGTATTTTCACAATGAAAAAAGAATATCAAATCTTCAGTTCAAGCTACAGAACTGGCACATGCATGCATGCATATGAATGCATGTGTGTGCGTGTGCAGGCAGACACTGACGCACAGACACACAGACACACACAATTCCAAGCAACCAATGCCAAAAGGTCTGACAGAGTGGCTCAAAGGGTACAACACCTGCCTAGCAAGTACAATACCTGAGTTCAATCCCCAGGGCCAAAAACAGAACCAATCAACAAAAAATTTTTTTTTTTTTTTTTTTTGGTCGGTCATGGGGCTTGAACTCTGGGCTTGGGCACTGTCCCTCAGCTCTTCAGCTCAAGGCGAGCGCTCTACCACTTGAGCTACAGCGCCACTTCCGGTTTTCTGGTGGTTTATTGGAGATAGGAGTCTCACGGTCTCTCCTGCCCGGGCTGGCTTTGAACCGCGATCCTCAGATCTCAGCCTCCTGAGTAGCTAGGATTACAGGCGTGAGCCACCAGCGCCCGGCAAAATTTTTTTTTTTTAAATCTATCAGTCGTGGAGTTTGAACTCTAGGCCTGGGCGCTGTCCCTCAGCTCTTCAGCTCAAGGCTAGCGCTCTACCAATTGAGCCACAGGGCCACTTCCGGTTTTCTGGTGAATTATTGGAGATAAGAGTCTCAGGGACTTCTCCTGCCCTAGCAGGTTTTGAACCGAGATCCTCAGATCTCAGCCTCCTGAGTAGCCAGGATTACAGGTGAGAGCCACTGGCGCCTGGCCTTAACTTTCTTAAAAACACACACAAGATGATTAAAACTATGCTACAGCTACAATGCCTTCCTAGACAATGTATAATTTTACATGTACATTTTCTCAATCTTGATTTATTTTGGTGTAAGGGATCAAAACCAGGGCCTTGCACATTCTAAGTATATATTAGTACTTCTAAGATATACCCCAGAGCCTCAATATTTGTTTGGAACATAAACTGCATCCAAAGATTCAAGCTTTATATGAATGTGAATCTAAGATCTAACACTTAGATAAGTGTTTAATCATTTTATATCCTTCTTTATTTGGCAATGGCTTCAAAACATAAGTGCTCTTCACCTTGCAGCAAACATTTGGCTCTCAGTTCCATTGGGGCCAGAATGTTTATCCATAGCTCTCCTTTTCTCTCCCATCCAGACTCTGAGGTTCTAGCAGTCTAAAGCTTGTCCTTCCCCTACATTCCTATAAGGGTGGCACTCTACTGCCAACAACCCTGGAGCTAAGTTGCTGGCAGTGATGATTATTCACACCCAGCTGTGAATGCCAGTTTGGGTCCTGGGTAAATACCAACTGGTTTTCATAAGAAGCCAAAGCTGAGAAAGCAGACTTTGCTCGCTTATATAAACTCTGGATACCAAAAAAGTTCCTTTTTTCTTAACATTTTCAAGATCTTTCAGAGTGCGTGTGTGGGTGAATGTTGATATTCAAGGAGATGCTTTTTATAGAGGCAAGTTCTTACAATGTAAAGGAGCTAACATATTACCAAATGCAGATCAATTTACAAATGAGCAATTAAGACACAGACAGGTAGTGACCAAAGCCAAGATGGCCACCAGTAGCAGAGTGAGGACCAACTCAGGTACCAGAATGACCCCCTTATTATATCAAGTGCCTGTCACTGGACAGGTGTGTAAAAAGGGTTAGTATGCAAATGAGTCCAGGTAAAGGGAGATTGCAGCTTCTGACAGAAGTCTCTTGAGACTAGGGCTGTCTTGTGCAACCACAGCTGATGAAAGACAGAGTAAAATGAAATTCATCTTACCTGATGTAAACATGGCCAACTGTGAGTCCCCAGGGCAACCAGTGATCAAGGAAGAGGAAGGAGAGGAAAAAAAAGAAAAATATTTTTATTAGCAGAAACACTTGAGGAGTAAGTGGGGGAACATTAGAATGGGAAAGCTATTGTGGTCACACTGAGGCTCTGTAGAATTACTGAGCTACAATCACAGGAAAAACAAGACAGTTCAGCTAAGAATCTAGTTTTCACTCTTGGAATCTCTCTATATGTACAGACCCCCAAACCACTCACACTCAATTTATCTACAAGTCAGCCTTTGAGAAGTTATTGCCTTTGAAGGAATCCAATATAAAAGTTAAGTACGCTTGGCCTGAGGATTCACGGGAGCTCTGTCATGTAGAGGATACATGCATGCGTGCACACTCATACTGTCTTATGCCTGAAGTGGATGGGTTCCTTGAGTTCAAAGAGTCCTGTGGACTTCCAGGTAGGCAAATCCACTTTAACAAAATGTTCAGGCTTCCCTCAGTCTTGAGAGCAGTGCTAGCAGGGAGCAACTCAAAAGTTCAGTTCTATTCTAAAAACATTTTTAAGTAATGGAAAGGACAGGGAGCTGACTACTTTCAGCTTACAGAGCTGCTGCCAAATGTTTTATTATTATTGTTGTCGTTCAATGTTTTTATTTTTTCAAAAGATGAAACCCAGGCTCAAAAACATTCAACAGCTGGGCGTTGGCGGTTTATGCTATAATCCTAGCTACTCCGGAGGCTGAGATCTGAGGATCACGGTTAAAAGCCAGCCCCTGCAGGAAAGTCCGTGAGACTCTTATCTTCAATAAATCACTAGAAAACTGGAAGTGGTGCTGTGGCTCAAGTGGTAGAGCGCTCACCTTGAGCTGAAGAGCTGAGGGCCAGTGCCCAGGCCCAGAGTTCAGGCCCCACAACCGACAAAAAAACAAAACAAACAACAACAACAACAACAAAACATGCAAGTAGGGCTGGGAAGGTGGCTTAGTGGTAGAGCGCTTGCCTTGCATGCCTGAGGCCCTGGGTTCAATTCCTCAGCACCACATAAGCAAAAAAGAAAAAGCCGGAAGTGGCTCTTTGGCTCAAGTGGTAGAGCGCTAGCCTTGAGCTGAAGAGCTGAGGGACAGCGCCCAGGCCCAGAGTACAGGCCCCACGACCAGACCACCCCCCCCCCGCAAAAAAAAAAAAAACAAAAGAAAAAAAACATGCAACTACTTGGACTGGGCAAAAAAGTCTTTGCACTTCTAGTTCACTGTTCTTTTAAAAACCTAACACTGCATATTAAAAAATGACACAGAACTGAAAGAAAGGGTGTACAATGCCAGATTTTTAGTATTTTTCATTCATTCATTTATTCATTCAACAAGTACTGACTGCACTCCTACTAAGTACCAGGAGATTAGAAAATGCAGAAGTGGTTTCTTTGCCTCACATACCATGAGTCTACTCTCACTGGGTAAATCTTGCACTCAGAGATAGCTCCTTTCCCAATTCCTTAGCCAGCTTATCTTTGCAGCCCAGATCTACAATCAGTCTTTCTTTTCTTTCCTCCTTTCCCTTCCCTTCCCTTCCCTTTCCTTTCCTTCCTTCCCCTTCATCCTTGGTCATGGGGCCTGAATGTGCTGCCCTTCAGCTCTTCAGCTCAAGGCTAGTGGTGTACCACTTGAACCACAGCACCACTTCCAGCTTTTTCAACTTATGTGGTGCTGAGGGATTGAACCCAGGGCCTCATGCATGCAAGGCAAGCACTCTACCACTGAGCCACCTTCCCATACCCCCCTCATTCTTTCTCTCTTCCTTTCCTTTCTCTCTTCCTTTTCTTTCTCTCTTTCTTTCCTTTCTCTCTTCCTTTTGTTTCCTTTCCTTTCCTTCCCTTCCCTGCCCTTTCCTTCCCTTCCCTTCCCTTTCCTCTTTTCTGTCAGTCATGGGGCTTGAACACTGGGCCTGGATGCTGTCCCTGAGCTCTTCAGCTCAAGACTAGCACTCTACCACTTGAGCCACAGAACCACTTCCAGTTTTCTCATGGTTAATTGGACATAAGGGTCTCATGGACTTTATTGCCTGGTCTGGCTTTTAACCTCGATCCTCAGATCTCAGCCTCCTGAGTAGCTAGGATTACAGGTGTGAGCCACTGGCACCCGGCTATATACAATCTTTCTAAACACAACAGATGCCTCACATCTGACTCCCACATGGACCCATGATGTCACTGGAAGGCAGTAGGGGACACCCCATATATAATAGACCTCCACTGTCAGCTTTCCTTAAAGGATGAGGGCAAGAAATGGAGATGAATGAATGACTCTCAGAGGAAAGTTCAGGAACTGAACAATGGTAAGGATTCTTCCAATTTATTAAGCAACTACTGTACTAGGTGATGACTGAAAAGGTTTTCATCTGCTAATGTCATGGGATGTTCACATTACCTTACTAGAAAGTACAATTATTTCCACTCCGCAGATGAGAAAACAGAATTACTTACGGACATCACCCTTTAGTTTACAATCTATGTTCTTCCCAACAGTACCTGGTCTTCTAAGTCTTAACCTTGTCCCTTGCTTTATGATGCCCTGATGATCCTGTTTCTAGAATAAGGCTGATCATAGTGATTTTTTTTCCCCAGTTCTGGGGCTTGAACTCTCTGTGCTCAAGGCTAGCACTCTACCACTTGAGCCACAGTATCACTTCCAGCCTTTTCTGTTTATGTGGCACTGAGGAATCAAACCCAGGGCTTCATGCCTGCTAGGCAAGCACTCTACCACTAAGCCACATTCCCAGCCCCAGTAATTTCTTTATACAGGAACACAATGTCTGTCCTATTCTCTTAATACAATAATAAATCCACTTTGGATCACTTTTCTCTCAAGATGTAAATTACCTCTACGTCCTTTTAGTTAAATCAAGGTTTGATAATCTGGCCTAACTCTCCATATTCTTGTTTCCTAACATATCCATCTCCTATTCAGGGTGCAGTGAAGGGGCATACAATAGCCTCATGGACTCAGATGAGCCCAAAAGCGCCCAAGCCTGGCCCTCAGGCACACTTCCTTCACCTTACCTGCCACTCTCTCCTCTCTATGTTCAAAGATTCCCTACTCTTAAAGGTTCAGTTCAAAATCTCAATAGAAAATGAACCAATTTAATTTTCACCTAGATTCTCAGAGCCAGCCAGGGCTTTTGTATTCATGGAGGTGGACAGGACACTGACCCTGCCACTGCACTTGTTATACGCACATATATAACTATGGTCATAGCAAACGCACACTATCTGCTGCATGCCCTGTGTTCTTCTAAGCTTTTTATATGTTTTGGGGTATCACTGGCAAACAACCCTACAAGTGGGACAGCATGTGTAAGCACCCTGTCCAACGTAATCTAGTAGGGAAATGGCAGAGGCAGTCTGAGTTTTATAATCATTATGCTACATTTACTTTAGTTTCAACACAGCAAGGGACAGGTAGTAAATGCTCTCTGAACAGTTAAGATTCTTACTGGAGAGATGGGAGAGAGGCCTAGGTTAGAGACAGGACTTGCTCATTAATACCAGAGCAGGGATGGGAACTGAGATCTCTGCCCCTGAAACAAAGTGGACACAAAGAAGTCTTCTTCTCTAAAGCTGCCAGTGTATCCTCTGAGATAGCAGCAGGGGTACTGACCAGAAGAGATGGCCACACAGGCTGATGACAGCATCCTTGGCGGTGTCCAGGCATATGTTGCACTCGAAGGTGCTGTCCTGCCCTCCACTCTCACCAGTGCCGTTGCTGCTCCCACTGGGTCCCCCTGCACTTGAGTTCTCAGGGGATGCAGAGGCTGAGGGCCCCTTGCTTGCCATCCTTGGTTGTCAGCAAAGTGCTCAGTGAAGATTTTTCCCAGGAAAATCCTGAAAGGCAGAAAGCCCTCAATTGCCCATTTCTGCAGCATACTTCCCCTGGATTCCATGCCAACACCCACATCTTCTCTCAATGCCAGAAGCTGATTATGACTGAACCCCTGAATAGACTTCCCAGGGGCTACAGGAACAACAGCTATGGAAACTTCTCTTGAACATGGCCCAGAGATATCTCACAAATACACAAATTGCAACAGAGCAGCCTCCAGAAGGTTTCAATTGAAGATGTTTTACTTGTTTTTATATTCATATGCAATAACCAACCAAGATGATAAATATATGCTCAACTAAGACAAACTTTCAGGCTGTCCTCTGACTTTGGACAGCCTCTGTGTTATTCAGAAGGGGATTTATCTCCTTGGGATGGTGACTGGTGAATGGCAGAATATAAAGCAATTCCTGTAACTGTGAAAGGAAGCAAGGAAGAACCAGATGATGGCCTTCTTCATTGAAATCTTTTACATGCCTCCTTCTGCCATGCTGGAATACAACCTCCCTTATTTTGTCTAAATATGTCAACATTTTATCCTCAACACATTTAAAGACAAAGTTTATGTTTTTATTATAAAGGGAAAATCAGGATTACTCACTGTAAGTGAAAGATAAATACATATGTAATGAAGAAAGAGTTGTTTATTCTCATACCACCTGAAGTCATCTGTAACTCATGCTATGCTCTGGGCTATCTTGATTAGATCCACTCTCTCCTGGAAAAGTGCAGCCTGAGTTATATTGGCTAGCTGACTCACACAGGGAGATGAGACCAGGGCTCATTTGTATTTAAACCATTTTACTATGGCCAGGCCTTGTTGGCTCATGCCTGTAATCCTAGCTATTCAGGAGGCTGAGAGCTAAGTGAGGATCGTGGTTTGAAGCCAGCCCAGGCAAGAAAGTCCCTGAAAACTCTTATCTCCAATTAGCTTCCAATAAAGCTGGAAGTGGAGCTGTGGCTCAAGTGGTAGAACACTAGCTTTGAGCATAAAAAACAAAGACAGTGACCTGAGTTCAAGTCCTAGGGGCAACACCAAAACCAAAAACAACAGCAAAAACAAAAAACCCACTTTATCACCACAGATCAAGCTGACCACCAAATAGCAGCAGAAACAGAGTACTGTTGAGTCCTGCCAGGGTAGAACCAGGAAGATGACATCAACACCAGGGATACCTAGAAATTCTAGGTATACATTAAAAACTGATCTGTCATCCTCATCATCTCAGAGATTGCAAAAGAAGGAAATAGCTACTATGTCTGGCTACCTCAGAGAACTGAAGGCTTGCATGCTGACCTTGCCAGCCTCCAGATTGCTAGGAGGAACCAAGTTCCCCTGCCCTGACCATTCTTCTCCCATCTGCGAAATGAGGCCCGGAATGACATAGTCTCCAAGGTGCCCACTTCTTTCCAGCTTAGACTGTGTGCTCCAGGTGATCTCACCCACTGCCCCCAAAGCAGACAGCCCCTCCACAAATCTAGGACTCACCACCAGAACACCTGTAGAACACCCTGATTTCAGCTTCCCCAAGTACACAGAGATGAGGACCAATTTTCCTTAGTCCAAGAGGCCTTCCACTGAGTTTTCACAGGGCAGCCTTGGAGCTTGGTGTTGAGTATCTCTCACTACAGCAGCACCTTAGTGACTTGAGCAGAGAGAGGAGCCTCTCTCTAGCACTTTTTCACTTAGTTACATCATTTTGCGTGATGTCCCAGAAGAGCGCTGGCTGCTGTCATGAGCAGTGGCTTGCTAGTCTCACTCAACTCCACAACCTTCTCCCTGACCAAACTTTCTCCTCCATATACATCTGCTCTTGTCATATAAAGACAGAGCCTGCTTTTCTAGTCATTATAGCCCTAAGAACTTGAATTAGGTCTTTTTCTTTCTTCCCCTTTGTGGATCCCCCGAGGGTCAAACCCAGGGCCTCATATAGGTTAGGTAAGCACTCTACCTCTGAGCTGTATTTCCAGCCTCAGTGCTTCCCTGTCCCCAACCTTTCAAATCTAGAACTAGGTTATTCTTATTCTAGAGATGACCTGCTTTTAGTCTATTGAAAGTGTATTCTTTTCCCAACAAACTTTCCTATCCTTTAAAAGAAAAACTAAGAACTATCCAGGTACAGGGCACACACCTATAGTCCCAACATTCTGGAGGCTGAAGCAGGAGGATCTAAAGTTTGAGGGTGACCTGGTATACATATAGTTATGTGTATATAAACAAACAAACAAACAAACAAGGAAACTCCCCAACAACATAAACAGATGAGGAGAGATACCATAAAGTTAGGCAAGTATATCTATCAATCTTAACCATAGCTTCTGTAGTGATGCAATAGGGTGTGCATAGCATTACCAATGAAGTATCTTTGCCTGAAAACATAGACAGCTCTTTTGTTATTGAAACAGGGTCTCCTCTGGAACCAGGCTGGCCTGCAACTCACAATTTACTTCACTCTGCCTCCTCAGTGTTGGGTTTATAGGTACATACTACCATGCCTGGCTAAAACTTAAGACTTTTAATTAAGCCACAAAAATGAATTACTAGTCCCATTTTCAGGACAAATAAACGAAGTTCACCAAAAAGTAAATAACATGGGCTAGGAGTTACAGGTTGAGATAATGAGGTATACCAATTATTGCACTACATAGATCTTACTAGATCCAGATGCAAACAAATCAACTGGAAACTGCAATTTGTAAAACAAGTGACAAAAATTGGATTTAGCTTGTATATTGCTGATATTTAAGGAATTGTCAACTCAAAGTAAAACTAACCTAGTTGCCAACAGAGAAAGTACATTTACTTGAGGCTAAGTAGGATCATAATCTAGGAAAAGGCAGATTCAAGTGGTCTTGAAAATGTACCCCCAAGGTTTTACAATTGGCAACTGTATTTATAGCTTTAAACTGCACAGGGATTGAAAACTACATCACTCATCATTTATTATTCAGGAATTAGGAGTGGTGCTGTTAGAAGTTACACTGTCTTATAAGAAATGGACTGCGTATAGTGTCAGTCTCTGGGTAGTTTGGGGGAAAGAGTCCTGTATAGAAAACTGTCAGTGGAGGTTAACAATATTTGAAAGATCAACACCCATCTGGCAGTGGGTCCAGCCTAGTTCAAAGATTCAGATGCAGAAGTGTGAGATCTAATTAGCAGTGGCCTCCCTATTTCATCTAAACCAATGTTACTCCATTTGTACCTTCTTCCATGAGGCTGTCGAGCCTGGGGAAGGAACCACAGGGTCAGGTCAATCTAGATTTGAGACCTATAAACCTATCCCAGTATCTGTCCTGCTGCAAACGCCAAGTCAACCTGTTAATATCAATGTCTAGAATGTATAAAACGAACTGTTGATAACAGTTATTCTTGATAGTATGAGGACCAAGGAACTTTAAATTTTTATATTCTTATACTGCTTTAATGTTTCTTAACAAACAAGTTACTACTTGGGTATGTGTTGGTACTGAGGTTTGAACTCAATGCCTTGTGCTCTCACTTGGATTTTTTGCTTGACCCAAACCTCTAAGACGTGCATTTTTTGCTGAGTTTCAGTCTCATGAACTTTTCTGCCCAGGCAGGCTTCAAATTGCAATCTTCTAGGTTTTAACCTCCTGTGTAGGCATTTGTTACAAAATAGCATATTTATAATATTTTTTTATCAGTCATGGGGTTTGAACTCAGGGCCCAGGCACTGTCCCTGAGCTCAAGGCTAGTACTCAACCACTTGAGCCACTCTGGCCTTTTCTGTTTATGCGTTATTAAGGAATCAAACCCAGGGCTTCATAGATGCTAGGCAAGCACTCTACCACTAAGCCACATTCCCAGCCTGGAACTTTTGCTTAGCTTTTTTTTCTCAAAGCTTATGCTCTACCACTTGAGCCACACCTCTACTTCAATGGCTAGGTAGAATCAATATTGTGAAAATGGCCATATTGCCAAAAATGATATACAAATTCAATGTAATTCCCATCAAAATCCCAATGACATTCTTTGCTGAAATAGAGAAAACAACCCAAAAATTCATATGGAACAACAAAAGACCTAGAATAGCCAAAGCAATTCTAGACAAAAGAAACAATGCAAGAGGTATCACAATAGCAGATTTCAAGCTACTATAGAGCCATAATAACAAAAACAGCTTAGTATTGGCCCCAAAATAGACCCAAAGACCAATGGAATAGAAGACCCAGAAATAAAAGCACATACTTATAATCAGCTGATATTCAACAAAGGAGCCAAAAACATACAATGGAGAAACATAGCCTCTTCAACTACTGGTGCTGGGAAAACTGGGCAGCCACATGAAGAAAACTAAAAGTGGATTCCAGCCTGTCACCATGCACTAATATCAACTCAAAATGGATTAAAGACCTCAGCATCAAACCTGAAACTCTGAAACTACTGCAGGACAGAGTAGGAGAGACACTAGAACTTACACGCACAGGCAGGAACTTCCTGAACAGAGTCCCAGGGTCACAACAAATTGGAAAGAGACTCGACAAATGGGACTAGCTTAAAATAAAAAAGTTTCTGCATGGCTAAAGACATAACTATCGAACTAAAAAGAGAACCAACCAATTGGGAAAAGATATTTACCAGCAATATATCAGACAAAGGCCTAATAGCCACCATATGCAGGAAGCTCAAGCAACTAATCCCTCACAAATCTAACAAACCAATCATTAAGTGGGCAAGGGAGATAAAGCAAGACTTCTCAGAAGAGATTAAAATGGCAAAGAAACACATGAAGAATTGTTCATCAACCCTGGCCGTAAAGAAAATGCAAACAAAAACAACCCTGAGATTACCTTACCCCAGTTAGAATAGCCCATATCCTAAATTCAGGGGATGTGGGGAAAGAGGAACCCTACTGCACTGCTTGTGGCAATGTAAACTAATACAGTCACTCTGGAAGGCAATCTGGAAGTTCCTCAAAAAACTAAATGTAGACAGACTCTACAATGCAGACATATCACTCCGAGGCATCCAAGCAACAGG